ATGACAAAGTTCACTGCAACCCCACCACCAAAATGACCCTCTGACTTTCACTCCTGCCCCCTTTCCCCTGGGAACCATCAAGTTTTCACTGAGTCTAGTGGTAAGTTTTATTGTTTTTTTTTTTTTTTGCCAGTTCACTTATATCAGTTATTCATGTTCACAGGAACAAAACCATCTGATAATTGTTGTTTCCTTTCTTACTTATTTAATTTTGTATAATCACCTAAAGATTCACACATTTTGCCCAAAAGGACACATTTTTGTCCTTTTCAAAATGGCAAAGTAGAGTTTCCTTGAGAATAGAAGGGATTCTCATCGTGAACAGAATCCAGTCATTCATTGGTGAGCATTTAGGAGAATTCCATGTTTTAGCTCGTGTGATTAACACTGCTATTAACAGAGGGGTGAAATATCCTTTCAAATTGCTGTTTCCTTGTCCTTTGGATGAAAACAGGTTGACAGTGACATGGCTGAATCAGACTGGAATTTCCATTGTTTATTGCTTGAAGGCAACTTCATGCTGCTTTCCATGGAGGCTGCACCCAGAAAGAATTCCCACTGGGAGTGTCCAGGTGAAATTTTTTCTCCACATTCACATCAGCACATTGTTTCCAATTGTTAGAAAAATCAATTTATTTATTTTATTATTTTCTTTAGATAATAGGGTTACAATAATGTTCAGGTTTTTGGAGTTAATGTACAAATTGACTGCACATCTCCACCACTGCAATGTCCAAGACCCTCCCCACCATCCTGGTATCAACCTCTGATCCAACTTTTGTCACTGCCTTTTGTTCCACTATGACTGTTAATGGACAATTGTATACTATTGTTAGTGCATAAGGTTACCTACATTAGTATCATCCATATGCTTCAGCCCTTTTTCTCATGTCCCTGAGTGTTACTTCCTAGAAACCTATTGTTCCTTTCTCTCCTCCAGAAACCTGAACTCTCAGTTCTGTGCTGTATAATCCAAGGCTTACTGACCACATGATCAGTTGACATCCCGTTACTCATTGATTTTCTCGAGCGGGCACCAGTAACGTCTCCATTGTCCCTGTCAAGTGCAAGTGTAGCCCAATGGTGTCTGCTCGCTCCAGGAACAAGAAGAGCCTCAAACTGATCGTTCAGGGTCTTGACGAAGAAGTCTGACCATCTTGTAGGTGGGAAGCCATGCAATCGTTTTTTTTTTCATTTTTTATAATTTTATTTATTGAATCACCGTGAGAGCAGTTACAAAGCTTTCGGGTCTAAGTAGTCTCGGTCATATAATGAAACACCCGTACCTTCACCAGTGCCCATTATCCATCACCAAAAACCCCAGTATACCCCCATCGCATGCCCTCCCCCTACCTGTGGGGCAGAAGATTTCCAAATTACTCTCTCTCAACTTTGATCACATTCAATATTTCGATACCAGACCCACCATTATTATTTGAGATCTTACCTCAACACTCAGATCTGCTGAAAAGGCAACAGTAGACAATTTGTGTTCTATTGCTGGTTATGAATAACATATGATGTCGTGTGCTGCAGTAGGGCCATGTGATTTTGAAATTCTAAAATTTTAACACTTAAATCTGGAGGGATTTCTGCCCAAAGCCACTGGGTTTCAAGATTTGCTCCTGAGTCTCTGGGATCATGGCCATTGAGCAGCTTGATCAGGAGGCAGAGAGGCTGTTCGTGGGCGATGACTTGGGGTCTCGTTGGGGTGGGGAGGGCAGGCCCGGCTCCACCCCCATCCCATGAGGCCCAACAAGTTTCGTCACTGCAGGCCCAAGCCTGACTGTCCAATGGCCTCTGGAGGATGATGGCCACCGAGTCGACAAGGGGGAGCAAGTGGAGGGACAACACTCTTTCCCCCTTGGGGTGGCCTGGTGACAGTAACCTACTGCGGGGTCCAGACGCAATTCTGCCAAAAGCCGCTGGGTTTCGAGATTTGTTTCTGAGTCTCTGGGATCATGGCCGTTAAGCAGCTTGACCAGGAATCAGAGAGGCCGTTCGTAGGCGATGACTTGGGGTCTCATTGGGGTGGGGAGGACAGGACCTTCTCCACCTCCATCCCATGAGGCCTGCGTGTCTCGTCACTGGGAGCCCAAACCTGACTGTCCAGTGGCCTCTGAAGGATGGTGGCTACTGGGCCGCTGGGTGGAAGAAATCTATTCCCACCTGGGTTGGCCCAGCACCGGCAACCTACTGAAGGGACCAGATGCATTTCTGCCAAAAGCCACTGGGTTTCGAGATTTGTTTCTGAGGCTCTGGGATCATGGCCATTAAGCAGTTCAATCAGGAACCAGAGAGGCATGCCTCCAATTATATAGCTGAGCCGAAGGTGGTTTGTGGGTGTGTTTCCCACATACCTAACTTTTGGCCGTTTACTTTCTTGGTAAACTTTGCCCCAAGTTTTTGGGGTCTGGCCAAAGGCATAGCAGCAATTTTGGGGCATCCAAAAGCCTGAAAGTGCCATCAGGCTGCTGATGCATTCGCCTCACAGGTACAGATTGACCTTTTGGTGCCACCATACCCCCAGCATGCAATCTTTTGACATCCCGTGGAATCCAGTCAGTAATGGCTCTAGTCCAGCAGTTGTGTCCAAATCGCATTATGTGTCCAGCCCATCTGATTTTCGACGACTTGGCAAACAAGATAGTGTCCCTGATTCTTGATCATCGATGGAGGTCAGAACTCCAGATTCTTTGTCTCATTTGAGTGAAGCGTGATACTCCAAGCATAGCTCTTTTGATTCCTCTTTGGGAGACCTGAATAGTGTTCTCATTCTGTTTTTGTAGGGCCCAAGTCTCTGAGGTGTATGTTAATGCAGGAAGAACAGTGGAATTGAAGAGATGTGCCTGGAGTTGGAGGTTCTTCCTCATCTTAGCTCTTGAAGGCATTCCAAGCCACTCTCTTTCTCCTGCGCAACTCAGGTTCCAGGTCATTCATCATGTTGACTTCTCGACCTAGGGACACATAACTGTTGCATTCGGAGATGGTCATTCCATTGAGAGTGACTGGAATGTCAGGAATGAGACCGTTTCTCATAAAGTTTGTCTTCATTAGATTCAGCTGTAGTTCAACCTTTCCACACTCATGGTCAAAGTCGGCCAACATTTGTGCCACTTGACCAATGTTTGGTGTTATTAGAATGATGTCATCAGCGAAGCAGAGGCAGTGCAGTTGCCAACTGTCTATCTTCACTCCCATTTCTTCTCATTCCAGTCATCGCATGACGTTCTCGAGGGTGGCACTGAAGAGTTTTGGTGAAATGATATCACCCTGCCGAACCCCTTTCTTGATGTTGATGATCACCTCCCTGTAGAATGGTGAAACCCTGGTAGTGAATCCGCAACACAGCTCACGGAGGACCTTATGTATTGAGTTTGAACACCCTGTTTGGCTAAGGCTTTGATGACCACTTCAGTCTCAACAGAATCAAAGGTCTTCTTTAAATCAATGAACGATAGACAGGGTGGCATTTTGAACTCCTGACAAACTTCAATGATGAGCTTGGTTACTGTGTGGATATGGTCAATTGTGCTGAAATCTTAGCAGAACCCGGCTTGCTCACATGGTTGTCTTTCATCTAGTGTTCTGCCAATCCTGTTCAGGATGACTCAAGTGAACAGCTTGTAAATGACAGACAATAGGCAGATTGGGCAATAGATTGCTGCCAATGTCGTGGATTCTCCTTTCTTGTACAGTAGCACAGTACTGCTGGATTTCCACTGGGATGGAACCTTGCATTCAGACAGGTAGGAAGTGAAGAGCCAAGCCAGTGTATTGATGAGTACTGACGGCAATTTCTTCAGGTGTTCAGGTCTGACCTTGTCTGGGCCTGGTGCTGTTCACTTCTTAACCAACAAAATGGCATGTCAGATTTCGGAAGGGAGAATCTTGGGAACGACACATTCTTCCTGCAGAATTTGGTATGTGGGCAGGTGGATGTGGCTATCGAAGAGATCTGAGTAGAAGTCATGGATAATCTTCTCCATTGCCCTTCTGGAAGATGTGATAGAGCATCAGGACGTCAGAGGGCAGTCATCTTGGTCTTGTAGTTGGCGAAGGACAGGCGGGCATTGTGAATGCTATTTCCTGGCTTCTGCCACATCTGCCAACACTGCTGCTCTTCTCTGAGTTTTTCGTTTATCACTTCTCTGCACTGCTTTGCGAGCTCGGACATTTGCTTGCGGTTGCCTGAGGCATGCGCCAAGTCACGTTGGTGAATAAGTTCAAGAGTTTTCGAAGACGGGAGTTACTTTTTTGTGGCTATCTCTCTCTTGGCATCCCTTGCACAAGCATGGAGGTGTTGAACCAGTTGATCGTATTCCTCGTCAATGTTGTCAATGATGGCATCTTCCCATGTTGTCACAATAGTGTGAAAGAGCTCCCAGTTGGTGGTCCTTCTGGGAGTTCTCTTCTTAAACTTTGCAGCTCTTTCTCCCCACTTTCTGAAGTAGAATTTTGCACAAAGGAGATGGTGGTCCTATCCCATTTGGAATTTTGGGAAAACAGCGACATTGGTCAGGCAAAACCATTGATTGAATATTATGTGGTCAATTTCATTGTAGAACCGTCCACCAGGAGACTCCCAAGTCCAATGTTTAGATTTGGCCCTCTGGAATTGTGAGTTACCATGGATGGTTTTGGTCGACATGATGAACTCAGATAGTCTCTCACCCTGTTCGTTCCATTCTAGGCCATGTCTCCCAATGTGAAGTTCTTCAGCTGATCTTGTCGGTCCTATCTTAGCATTAAAATCACAGACAATGGTCTTATAGAAGGAGTGGTCTTTTTTATAGAACTTCTCAGTTCCATGTAGAACTTCTCAATTTCTCCTTCATCAGTATTGGATGTTGGTACATAGCCAACGAAGATAGAAACTGCCAGAAGTGAGCTACATCTATTCAAGTGTAATCGTCCTATTCGGGTTGTTAGGCATTTGAATGAATCAATGCTCATGGCCAAGTTTGTGTTGACAAGGACACCGACACCACAGATGACTCATTTGTCACATGTTCTTCGTGAATTTGCATGTCATCCTTGTGTAAGAGCCATGCTAATCTTCTGTGTATTGTTCCAATAGTTTTTATCCAGCATCAAAAATGGCATGATGTGATTGATGTCTTCTCGTCTCGGTCAGACCAATGATGTTGTACTTGATCTTTTGTGCTTTTACCATCAGGTCCTCGATGGATGCACCCGATGCCAGCATATGTGCATTGAAAGTATATACAGTCATTTTTGTCCTCCTTCATTTTGGCAGCCTAGTTCGGCCTTGAGATTTTATCAGCTTCTCCTTCCTTATCCTTCTTAATGCTGCCACATTGATGGCTCTTTCAGGGTCAGGAGAATGAGACCCACTGTATTTACTGGTTTTGTCATATCGAATATACGACAACAGATAGCTTGCCAGGCTCTGCTGTGCGGGCAGTATATTCTTGGTAGCTTGCCAAACTCTCCGAGAGGGATAGAGGCTTTTAGGGCGGTCTCTAATTGCCCTTGCAGGTGTTCCCATGGTTCAAACCTTATTTGAACCCCATCAAATATGGTGTGGTAATCTTGGAAGATGCGCATTAAGTGTCTTATGATGTGTCATGCAGTCGCTTTGTGGCCGCGAGGTCTGGAAAGTGTCCTGGAGTGTGGCAGTGACTGGGTAGTTTTATTATCAGCTATTATTGTTCATACCTTAGATCTGTCCCTCTATACAGCACAGATGAACGAGACCATTTTGTATTGGTTTTCTCAGCATGATACTCTCCAATTCCACCCATGTCGCTGTAAACTGCATGACTTTATTTTTTATTAGTGGCTATGTAGTAATCCATTGTGTATATATACCATAATTTCTATATTTATTTATCCAATGTCAGACTTTTGTATTGCTTTCATATTCTAATCATTATACTAAGAGATTCAATGAACATACAAGTGCAGATCTTTTCAAATAAATTTTCCTGTGTTTGGGGGACATGGGTAGATACCTAGAAGTGGGACAGCTGATTCAAATTAGGAGCTTCACTCTTACACTTTTGAGAAATTTCTGTATTGTGGAAAAATTATTTTAAATGTGCCTTCCTTCTTTCTGAATCTGTTAAAATAATGAACAAACTCTTTTGAAAATATTGAGGAAAAAACATTTTATGATCTAAGTTCAAGAAGGCTTTGGGTATGGACTGAGATTTAACTCTTCCCACGAACTGACATGGTGACCTTGCCGCATCCTTTGCTCTGAGCCTGAGGAGAGTTTGTTCTTGTAAATTCTATCTTTCTGACCATGAGCATCAGCCCTTTGTGATTAATGAGAAGCAGAAACAAAACCTGAAAAACATCTCAGGATGTCTCAATAATAAGAACTAAACAAACTTATCACCAAAATCTGTGCTATGTGTCTGATTGAGCCAGCACTGGCCTCTGGGAATATGATATGGGCACCTCTCCTGTGTGTTCTTGCAGGGATATGTCCAGTTGGGAGGTTATATGAGCCGAGTGCTGTGATAAGTGCCTGGGCATCACTTTATCCAGTCTTCAGAGAGATTTGTGTGAACCCCAGCCTGAGCCCCAGCCTGGACCTCACACACTCAGAGCTTCATCTCTGACACCTATATTGACTTTGAGATATAAACTTCAATGTGTACTGTGATTATCTTCTGAAGTTATTACCTTTATTTTAAGGTTAAAGACCTCCCCTCAAAGATCTTCTAGATTCTGCCTCTGTAATCCACTCCCCTTGGGTATATGCTGGAATTAGTGATTTCATTTAAGGAATTTAAGAAGACAAAAATGATGGGGTTTCATTTGTATCACTCTTCTAGGTCACACTCTCCCTCTGTCTCTCTGTCTCTGTCCCTTTCTGTCTCTCTGTGTCTCTGTGTCTCTCTGTTTCTTTCTGTCTGTCTCTGTCTTTGTCTCTCTGTCTGTCTGTCTGTCTGTCTGTCCCTCTCTCTCTCTGCCTGTCTCATTGTCATTTTCTCTTGCCTTTTCAGCATGCTATCTTGATCCAGACTGTTATTCTGGAACATTCTACTAATCATCAAACTAGAGTCACCTCCAGACAACAGTTAAAAAAGAATTGTGATCTTCATCTCAGTGTCCACAAGGAGCTAGATCCTGTCAAATATTGCAACAGTGAGTGAGTTTCTTTAGGAAGCCTCCTCAGTTAACTTTTGAGATGAGACTTCCATCACAGCACGTGCCATGATTTGGGGAAGGAGACACAAGACTCAGTTTTGCTATGCTTGGAACGTGACCCAGAGACTCCGTGAGGTCCATGTGTGTGCTGCTTTAAGAGTCTTGATTTTCTGTATTGCAATAATAAAGCCCAAAAATAGAGAGAGAAGGATTGTACCTGCCATAGAGACAGGGAGTGGGGTGGGGGGGGGGGTTGGTGGGTGGGATATTAGGAGCAATGGTGGTGTAAAATGTGCACTAGTGGAGGTATGGGTGCTCAAGCATTGTGTAACTGAAATGTAATCATGCAGGTTTGTCACTGTATTTCATGGTGGTTCAATAAAACCTAAAAAAAAGTCTTGATTTTATTATGTAATGAGATAATAAATACAATTTTACAAATTCTCATTTAATTTGATTAATTAAATTGCTTCCTTAACACAGTGAATAGTTCTATACATATAAGATGAAAAACAAAACCCTTAAATTTTCTTTCTTTTCTTCTCTTTTATGTATTTATTAATTTTAAAATTTTTATTAGTGAAACACTATGAGGCACAGCTATAGACTTACAAATTTTTGTGCTTGGGTTTCAGTTATACAATGATCGAGTACCCATCCTTCCACCAGTGCCCATCCTCCACCACCAATGATGTCAGTATCCTTCCTACCCCCCATCCTCCCCATTCCACACTGCCTCTGTGGCAGGGAATTCCCTTTTCTTCTCTCTCTCCTTTTGTGTGCTGTGGTTTTCAAAAAGGCATTGAGTGGCAATCATGTTTGGTCTATAGTCTACTTTCAGCATGCATCTCCCATCCTGGGAGGATCCTCCCAACACCGTTTATTTGGTGTTCCCTTCTCTGTCAGAGCTCCTTTCCCCCCAGCATATGTGGCTGGCCTCCAAGCCATGGAGTAAACCTCCTGGTACTTATCTTGACTATTCTTGGAAAAACCTTCAATTTTCTTTAATGATAAACCAGGGTGATGACATTAGCAATGGTCCTTCCTCCAATCCATTTGACTGGAGATCAACATTGCTTATATCAGCTTTTCCTCCTACTTCTCCCACCTGGACATCTTCTCTCCCCTCTGCAATCTATCCAGCTGACCTGAACTGGCAGTCATGGAGGGCTTAGAAACATGAGGCTTTCAGAGCACATTTTTCTGCTCCCAGGAAGATTCCTCCTGCTCTCTATCATTTCTCAGACTGTTCCTCTTTGGCAGTCCATTTCCTCTTCATTCTGACTTGCCAGTTTTTAATACCAAAGCCCCGTTTTCTCCATGGGGATTTGTAATGTAGATGAACCCCAGCCCCATACCTTAGTACTGGTCCTTCTCCTCCCAAAGCAAACATGTATCAAAGCTCAGTTCTATCATTTCCTACGAGTTGACCTTTGGCTCAGCCTCTATCACTGTGAACTGTGAAGGAACAGATGGAATCACAATTTCAATCAATGTAGCTGACTCTCAGGCAGATTGATTATGGCAAGTTCTAAGATGACAAATATGTCATGCAGTCAACGTTTATGTTTTTTCCGCCAGTTCCAGCTTGAAAAGAGACCTCAGAACGGTGATCTGAGCTTCAACAACCAAAATTAAAAATGTGCTTGTCAAAGTGTCAGACTGGGGATGGGGGCTGTGGGGAGGCAGGAGGGGCGCTGGGAACCCTGGTGGAAGAAAGACACTGGTGCTGATCATACTATGCTAAAAGCTTAAATATGAATGACTGTGAATCATGTTGCAGCTTTAATTAAAAAATTGAAAGAAGACCTAAATTATCTTTGCTCTTAATTTTAGTTTAATAAATTTGAAAAGTCTCTAATGAATATTAACATGCAGCTGACTATTAAACATACACCAGCTGGATAAATGCAGACTGTTTGACCTTCACTTAACAGAGATTTTAATTTTTTTTTTTTAGTGCAGAAATCTAATTGGCTATCAGACTTATCCTCATGAGGTGACCTGTAATGTGTCATTGGCACTTTCAGGGGTCCTGCTGGTGGCCTGAATCAATTAGTGACATTTATTAAAACTGAATATAATTAGCTATGCTACTTTGAAATATTCAAGTTTTATGTTATTAAAATTGTGTTCTTGAAACAAGAGCACATGTGGAATTTGTGACAAAAAGGAAAAAAACAGTGAATAATTTCTCAATGTTAAAATCATGGCATATATTTATAGAAACTCCTTTAGTATCTGCTCTCAATGGTGAAAGTGTCCTGGGATTGCACACACACACAGATTGCCAAATAAGTGTTTATTTTTAAAGAGATATGTTATGATGTAAATGACAAAAGCTTACAAGAGTGTGTGCACAGACACTGACCATTAAAACCCATAAATAAAAAGTTTATCTCAGATTCAAACCTCCTTGACCCACCTCTACCATCTGTGGGTCATCTGGTATTTATTTAGTCACAATATTTAAGACTCCAGAAGTCCAGGTCTAACAAGTAAAAAACTTGGGAACTTAAAAACATTCATATTTCAAGTCTCCTTTTCCTCTATTGTTACATTTAGTCCAGAACAAAATGCCAAAGAAATCCAATAGAGTTTCTCAGTCTCTTCTCTCTTTGAGGTATTCCTTTATTGCTTCTCTGCACTGCTTTGTGAGCTTGGACGTTTGCTTGTGGTTGCTTGAAGCATGCTCCAAACCATGTTGGTGAATCAGCTCAAGAGTTTTCAGACAGGCATTTTTTTGTGGCTATCTCTCTCTTGGCATTCCTCGCACAATCATGGAGGTGTTGAACCAGTCGATCGTATTCCTTGTCAGTGTTGTCAATGACGATCTTCTCATTTTGCAGCAATAGTGCGAACGAGCTCCCAGTTGGTGGTCTTTCCAGGAGTTCTCTTCCTAAACTTTGCAGTCTTTTCTCCCCGCTCTGTGAAGTAGAATTTTGCACATAGAAGACGGTGGTCAGATCCCGTTTGGA